ATGGCTATATGAAATGGTTCCACTTACTTGAGCTGAAGATGAGAAGGCTTGTCATCACGACCCAGCGTCCACTCATGGCCACAATTGAGGTACTAATGTAATAATGACATTAATAAGAATAGATCCGACTAGAATCGAATCGAATAGCCAAAAAAAGCTAAGAAGCTAAAAAGCTAAAAAGAGCCCCTAAAATGGGTCGTCTCGGGTTTTTATAACCTCTGCTATGCTGACTCGTTGTCTTCCGGGTATAGGGGTCCTCCTACCCTGACGTGATTTTGGGTCGGTGTAGCTTGTTTATTGGTTGTTAATCGAGAAGGGGTTGACTCTTTTGGTAAGCCGCCTCCTCCTACTCAGCATTTTCCATCTGCCATAGTGCTTATGATCCATTTCATATAGCCCTTCCGCATTGTCAGCGGTTTACGCCGCCGCGTTAACATTCTGATTAGTCAGGAGTTCTTGTACTTCCTTGTGGACCCAAGCTCTCCGGGTCATGCCCTTATTACTGTTCAGTTTTTTGTTTTTTCCAAGCTTACCGTCTAATTGTAGTGATTCCACATTTACCAAAAACTACTTCTACATGTACGTAACCCTTTGCTGCATAACACAGGGTGCTATGTTTACAGTTCATTTTCAGACATCCCAATTTATTTAAAAGAAAAATATGGATGGGCCTTACTGCAGCAGATGTAGTTTTTGTGAACTCAAGAATTTGAAGACAGTTATGCAACATGGAGCTAATAATTGTTACAGACATGATAGGATGTTGGAGATATTACTTACAGAACTTCTATTGAAGAAGTTGGTGTTTTTTTATGGAGGACGTGTCTTACATAATGCCCTGAGAAAAAAATGCAGAAATTATCAATGCAAAATATGAACAGGCAATAAAAGATATTGACAGATTTTTTTTGATGATGTAATATTTGTGAAGGAATTTATGTTTAATTATGGTAGAAAGAAATGCTGGGAGGAGGAAAGGACCACATATGGCAAAAAATTATGTTGAACATTTTATGGATTTTTGTGAAAAAAATACTTGGTTATTAGTTAACCTAGTAAATGATACTGAATTTATCTTTTCTCACCTGGAATATAAGCTCCTTTGGAACAGCCATTCTTGATTATGGCTGAAATATGGTCTCTTGACTCTAGTTGCTTGTTGGAAGATAGTTAAGGGACAGCAGTTCTGCAGAGTGAACACTGAACTAACATATGGGAGTTTATGAAAAAATTAAAAATGACCTTATAATTCTACGAAAAGTAGCGTATAGTGAACAACTTGAATGGTTTCCATAACATTTTTGTACTGTAAATAACTGTATATAAAAATGTTATGTTATACACAATAATGTATTTTTATTCTATTGAAAATATGCCATTAGTTTTGTATGCAGAGGGGTAGTAATTTGACCTCCAAAAATCAGTGTCACAGTTTAGTTGCATGAAGCTCGATAATGTTCAGGTTTGGTTACATGAAAATATGGTAAGCCCAATTATAATACCCTGATAATTTTTTAAAGACTTGATTATAATTATTTTGCCAAGAATCTGTAGTGCTAGAATGACATATAGAAAATTAAATCTATTAGTTTAGGAATTTCAGTTGCATTGAATTTTGTCTAAAACACATGCTTTGCATAACCTTTTAACTGTTAATTTATCACAGAGGCTTAATGTCATAGATTATGATGTAATTCAAAGTTATAATCATGTACATTCCTTTGGCATGACACAGACTGCATAGAGAATGATATTGTTGCTGCAGGAAGGTGTTTGCTGAGCCATTCATTATGTAGCAACACTAGGGGGCTACATAGACAGACCCACAGACTCTTCATTGATATGACACAGACTGCATCGAAAAGATGGGCCCAACAATTCTACTACTGTGATGTGTATTGGTTCATA